AAACAAAAAAAAAAAAAAAAAAGAAAAGAAAATTAATTGCTGACTCTCTCTCTCTTTCTCTCTCTCTCAAATATTTGCGAAACAATTTTAACTTACAAGCTTTACAAATTTTTTTTTGGGGGGTGGGGGTGGGGGGCATTTTGGGCAGAGAATACTTGTAGAAATAATAGGCACATGTTATGAAAACGTGTTACGTAACCTGAAGATCTAAAATCGTGCTTAATTTGCAGTCAATTTGTTTTCTCATCATGCTGTATCGGCCGACAGCGCGACAAAGAGCATCAAGGGAAAAGCATTCATACATTTTAACCAGTATATCTTATTATGTTTTCACGTGTTCTGCGTCGGGAATTAAGGTGTATATCAGCCGCGTTCCATCCAACGTGGAAGTCAAGATGTGCCAACAGAATGTCGAGTTGATCCGCAGCAGGAATAAGTTCTATGCCCAGTACATCGATATCTCTGAAAGTAATGAAGTTAAGGAATTTCTAAGGAGACAAGAAGGGACGTCTATCGGTCCACAGCTTTTTAACGGCGAGGAATACTTTGTGACACTGTAAAGACGACAAGACTCGCAAATGTACATGTATAATGTACTTCAACCGCCATTTTGACGAAAACCTCACAACATATTTCGAAAAGAGAAATGTCTGAAGTTGGACGAGCTAACATGATTGTATTATAGGGGTATATACCAGTACATAATAAATAATAAAAAATAAAAAAATACACGGGGCGTTACCAAAAGATATAACTTAGCCTAAGAGCATTATACCGGGGTACATATTCACTGTGCTGCGGACTGAAAAAATTAAGAAAATTATTCAATATTTTGCACCCTTACAAGAGAAATATTATTTTGCAATCCAGGCTTAAATTCTTTATGCACCTGACATTTGAATACGCATTTCCTCATATAATGACGCGCGTGTGCGGTTAACCTACAGGAGTATTACCGCTGGTCGTGTGTGATGTCAACCGTGTCACCAGAAATGACATGCATATCCGACTGCCATTCAGCGAGAGTCCCTGTGGATTTAACCCAATAGAGCGGTAGTTTCGTTTGGAATGAGCCATTATTTAATAGATTCAGTACATACTTTCATGTACAGAATACGCATAACTATCGTTTAACGCACGTGTTTTACAGTCTCGTAAGAATTGATAGTGTAAAGCGGGTACTCTCTACCAGGGCCACAGATTGATTTTTTATTAGATATTCACATATTTGTCTCTGGCTTATTTATATCACATTTTTACAAATGAACATAATTCATCTACGGCCCTGACAGAGGGTAAAATGCGGGGCCCCTATTCGAGCATGGTCGTCGGCCTGTGTATTGTGTGAAGGGCGCAGATTGTGCTGTACTCGCTACCCTGGTTCACCTAACGCATTCTGTTGTCTAGGAGCCCCATTTTTAGCATAGATATAAGGCGACGCCTTGTCTTATGATTAGGCCTAATACAAGATGCAGTCACTAGATGGCGGTAACATCTCAGGTCGCGTTTGGACCGATATAACAAGAATTGTAGTCTGCTAGGAACCGTAGTCCATTCTCCATAATGCTAAGGACAAATCTTTTCGGAACAGGAATTTTTTTATACATGAAAATTATCAAACACATGCAGAAATACTTCAGCTTGTGTTTGATAATTTTCATGTATGATCCAACTACCAAGCTGATGAACATCTTTGCTCAGGAAAATTTTAGTTCACAGCTAGTTAATAGCCAGACCAAACAATCTAGTGTTCCGTTCAAATATCTGTCGCAAAATATGCCTCAGGGTATCTCTATCACCATGCCTACATGTAGAATTAGTATCTTATCTTTTGTGACCGTTTTGTGGTAAACTCATATATCTGAAATAAAATAATTTAAATATAAAGGGTCGAATTTTTACTTATCCGAACAATAGAGCGCATGCTTAACAGGAAGTACGATTGCTGGAATTATATCGCTACTGATTGCTTGCGGTATAAGTGTGAACGCAAATAATCTCGGTTTTGTTGACCGCGATTCAGTCGGAGTTAACTCGACCGCGGTTAACTGTCTAATGTGAATGGCCTAATATTGTCACAGGAGATTTGAGATTGCTGCACTTATTTTGTGGTCCAATTTTATTAACATATCAAATGTGTCTTAACTCTTATCACTGTTTTGAAAAGATTATTTAAAGAATATTTCGATTTACAAAAATATATTAGTTTTAAATAACTTCATGTTAGTTTTTAATTTATCTTTGTGGTTTTAGTTTTTATATGTTAGTGTAAGCAACACTGAGACGCACGTTGAGTATTATCATTATTATTTACATAAAATCGTTTGAAAATATTTGTAAAATATTTGTATTTGTATTTGAAAGTATGAAAGTTCAGGTGAATTGGTACTGACAGGCTGGAAAGGTAATAAATGCTTTATCATTGACATGTCCCGCCTTAATATTCAACAGTAAACAATATGCTCCTGTACAAAATGTTACTAGAGTGCCTACTTAGAGTAACTTCAGCGTCTGGGTTAATAAACAAGCCCAGTTCTCCTATCTCTTGTATCATGTGCCTCGTGGTGGGGCGTACATCTCAGGTGACTCCAGCTATCAGGACGAGTGAGGTGTGTTCTCACGTACACCCAAGTCTACAGTTAGTGCAGGTTTAAATGAGCCATTTAGAATATGTTCAAAATATGAATATAAACTTAAAACCCATGCTTTAAATTCAACTTGATAGGCCTAATTGGCTATTACACTTGAATGCAAATATTCTTTTTCTTTTTGCCGAGAAGGAAATGATATTGGAAAATCACTTGAAACATATCTTTCCCACATTAAACTACTCGTTTTTTTTTTTTCTTTTTTTAATCAAAATACCCTTTAAAGCGCAAACCCATGAAACTGTGTTAAGGGATGCAATCAAAAGGGAAGTCAGTGGTATTTTAGTTTATTAATTTTTACAAAGTTACTTGGCAGATAAAAATCCATATTACTTTGACGTAATATTCATTATTAATGTCTGCAATATTTGTAGACGTGGAAACAATCATTTTAATGATTAAAACGTTTTAATTATACAGGGAAGCAATCGATAGTTAAAAAGATAAAGATACTTAAACACGTTGCCTTTATCAAACCCGGACATTGTGTGTGTGTGTGTGTGTGTGTGTGTGTGTGTGTGTGTGCGTTTGTGTGTGTGTGTGTGTGTGTGCATGCGATTGTTACACACGTATAAAGATCTACAGATGATAATGAACACTACCGACACTGTACCGAAACGTAAAGGAATTCGCTGTCGGTGGAAGTGTTGTCTGAACAGCAGGCTGAGCGCTAAAACAAAGAACTCAAACTGATTATTACTGTGCTACACTTGCCTAAGTATATCAAACATTGTCTCTTATCATGTTTACCAGATATAAATTATAGACACGTTAATATTTAATAAAATCAGGTGATTCTGTAACAGTCCATGGGTCCAAGGAGGGTGGCGAGAGGATAATACAGAAATAAGAACCTTTTTAAACTAGATTTGGAAATTATACTATTATGCAGTTTATTGTTTATACAATTATGGTACATTGTATTCACAAAGCAGGGCCGTAGCCTGAGCAAAATGCCGGGGGGGGCAGTAAGCGGACACTAGGAGGCGAAGCCCCCAAGGGGGTGTGTCGGAGGGGGTGTCCCCCTCCCATGGTGTGGAAAAATTTAAAAAACCTCAAATCCCAGGGGGGGGGGGGCAGCTGCCCCCCCCCCCCCCCCCCCCCCCCCCCCCCC